TTGGTCCTTATTAATTAAATACAATAAAATAAATTGACTCAGGACTCACTGCTCATGCGTATATGCTTTTCTCTCCACGCCTCTTCACAGTCGTCCTCCGGCCGTCATGCGGCTCCTCCTCTTACGCACAGCACGCTCGGTATCCGGAAAGAAATAATCCCGTGATGTCGCATACCGTCCAGGCGGCTGCTGTGCTTTCTTGGCTCTTTCTTTTTTTAGCAAAAGAAACATTTTCAGCAAGGTATTGCTGACCGTTTCCACTCTGACTCGTGTTGAGACATGACGTTGACAAAGTACCAAGCTGTCGCTGGATGTGTCCTTCCGCTCGGAGCTGGACAGCGGGATGCAGCGTCTCTGTGTGGAACTAGCTCGCTGCTGATCCTTTAGCTTCTCCGGCCTCGGACGCTTATTTGTGCGGACTATTTGACAGCAGGTTCGTTAGTAATGGCGAGATTTCTCTTAGAGCAACGCTCCGATTTCGTGGACTATAACGGCGGCAAAGAGCTGAGTGACATACTGGGAACGTTAACAAGTGAGGCTCTGTCGGACGTTCGCCTGAGCCCTGATGATCGTCACGTCCATGTCATCCTCAGGAAGCCTAAAGCCGGTCTTGTGACTTTTGACAAGTATGAAAGAATTCAGCTGGTTCACAACCAGAAGAGACAGAATTTACGTTTGACGCGTTCTGTGTCCATTGTGGATGTTTTATATTTGGACCAAAATAACAACAACAATGTTAACAGCAGTAGAGATACAACCACAGTGGCAGTGGTTTACGAGGATGGGAAAGCAGAGTTCTGGAGGTTCCAGGAGTGCAGATCAGGCTGGAGTCTCCTGCAAACATCAGCCTTGTGTAACAGTCCTCGAGCCAGAGTGGTATCTGTGTGCGTTTGCTCAGGTCTTATCATCTGGTGTGAGGAGAGGCCTCCTTCAGAGAGCTCCCCTGCTCTGAGCTCCACCAGAAACAAGCTCAGATACTGCGTCTGCAGACGGGACTTTGAGGTGGAGGAGGGAGCCGTCAGCCTTGGAGGAGTGAAGATCGCCCTCCACAACAATCCCAGGTTCACTGTGGTCAGCTCAGGTGAATATGTGCATCTACTACCTGACTTAAAGGTAAAGCCACAGCTGAGTGCTTCAAAGTTGTTCATTTCCTGGTCCCCTCACCACGACTCCTTTAGGATCAATACCACATGTAACAACATTCCTCTCAAACATCTCTCTGCTAAAGAATCTGACTTTAGAAAGCTAGTGACAGACTCTTTAGGTTATTTATCGATTCTGGAGCCGCCTGAGATCTACGACTTCTCCCCCACAGCGTGCGGAGGCTTGCTGCTGCTGCTCAGCACGGGCTGGCTGTGTCTTCTGCAGAAAGATGGGATGCTGCGGCAGGTATTCAAACTGACGGACAACTGTTTAACAAAATATGGTACACACACTAGCCTCTGCATGTACCACGACACTGTGGCCATGATGGTGGGACAAAACCTGCATCTCATTGATGTGAAATGTGGCAGGGAGCTGGAGAAGATGGTGCTCCAGAGAGAGGGGCTGTTGTACTTCAGTTGGGCTGAAAGGATGACGCCTCACCTGCTGTTAGAAACTGGAATTTATGTGGTACTTAAGACTGACTCCAAAACTTCCAACTCCAAAGTTAAACCTGACTACAACACTGTGGAGTGTCTCCAGCCTGGAGCTCTGCTGGTGGAGGCTGTCTTTGAGGAGGCGTGTAAGTACTACCAACAGAGGAGTCTGAGCAGCACCCAGCTCACTGTGGAGACACTGAAAAAGGGAGGAAAGTTTCAGGCCCCCATCTCTTTAGCCTCCATCCTCAGAAACTACTTTGCCACAGGGTCAAAGCAGAAAGAATCAGAGCTGCACCAGAACGGAGTAGGTGGAAGTACGGAAGGGCAAGACAAGCTAATGGTCTCCCTGGAGATGGAGCTGAAAGCTCTGGTTTCTCTGGACAAGCTGAAGGGCAATTTGGTGCAAGAAGGTGTGAAAGAGGTGGAGGTTCTGTGTGAAACTCTGGTTGAGAAAGAAGTGGCCAGACTGTTGTCATCCTCAGAGCTCAATGACGAGTCTCTGCTTTACTTCAACAACATCGTCAGGATCTTCCCTCAGCAGGCGTGGAAGGCAGCACGGGCTGTCCTCCAGCTACACTACACTGAGGAGGGTTCACTCTCCAGCAGCGCTCCAGCAGATGTCTGGAAAACTGTTGTCAGTCCTGCTCCAGCCTCCAGAACCCCAGACGCCCCTCGATTATCAAACGGTGGGCTAAAACATCACAAGTTCAAAGATGAACGTGTCGTCAACAGGAAAATAAAATCTCCGAGCTCTTTTTCACACGCGCCTCTGTCTGTGTTTGAGCTCCTGTGCCACTCAGTTTTCAACTTCCAGCCCAGTTGGCTGCCCAAGTTTCTAGAACTTGCCCAGCAGCAGCAGGGCTCAGTCGGCCTGGGTCTGAGTTTGACCACTTCTTCCTGGAGTTTCTCCAGTGTCAGAGGAGGAGAGGGCGGAGAGAATAATGTGCCGCTCTACAAACGAGCCCTGAGCGTCCTTTCCAGCCTGTCCTTAAGCCCAGAGCAGTATCAAAACTTGGAGATCGAGCTGTTGTTGGTCAGTGGGCGACCTAACGCTATCCTGCAGGCCATGAGGTTTCTCATGGCAAAGCAAGAGTGGGGGCGGGTCACTCAGGTGGCCCAGAAGTTCTGCAAACAAAGTCCCTTGCTCAACAAAGAGATTTTTACTACTCTGTTATGTGAGGTGGCCTATCACAGAGACCTGGATCCATACCTGGATCTTTTGTGGTCTCTGTGCCCTGAGGACTTCACCGTCACTGCTATACTTAACTTAGTGTTGAAAAGTATTCCCTCCTCTAACACTCCCTGCTCCTCTTACTCCTCTATCTCCACTACAACCTCCCCATCCGCTGCTCCCTTTGCAGACTTCAGCAGCAGCCAACTGACAATCGGGCTGTTGAAGCCGCTGCTGAGGAAAGTCCTCCAGCGGGAGACGAAGCCCAGCCAGCACTACGCTGACATCCTCCAGTCCCCCTTGTTTCCTCCTCCAGCACCTCCTCCCCGTCGGCCCTCAGATCAGTCCAGGGGTGTCGCAGATGCTCACGCCGACATTTCTGTGGGCAATAACAACTGTGTGTCCGCTGAAGAGCTGAGCTACACATCTGCACAAAGATCTAAAGTGGCACAGACCACTGACCCTTTCTGCTCCACATGATTTATCTTTTCTTTTTACTTTAACATTCTCTCATATACCCACTCTTCCTGTAGGGCAAGAGAGGGAGAATCATGTGACTGTCTAAACCCCCGTCCCTGTGACTCACTTTTGGTTGAAGGAAAACTGTGAAACTATTTTAACTAGTGTTGACAATCGACTAAAAAACAAAACCCGACAACAACAGTATGTAATGCAGTCTTATATGTAATTAACTGAAAATATAACTTAATAATGAAAAAGAATACTACTGACAATCCTACCAGTGTAAATACAACAGCTAATTTTAACCTGTATATACTGATTTGCAGTGTTATTTATATCTTAAGCTTTAACTGCACACGAACAAAGAAGAAGTGCTGCATCGAAGTGTTAATGATTAGTCAAAGAGTAATCATAATATTATAGTGTATTGAGTAAAAGGACAATCTGAAGTGAAGCCACTAACTCTTCTTTGTTGGTGTTTATTGTATCTGTGTGAATACTTAATATTTGCTGACTAAAGTAGCCTGGATCTGTTAACTGTAGCTAGGTCTGGCTGCTTTTCACCAGCTGATGTCAAAGTGCACTCCTGCAGCAGGTCATTCACTGTGCTCTGTCCTGAGGAACTGAAGTGACGGGAGGGGAGGAATGGGGGCGGAGGGGGTCTAATGTTCCATTTGCTGTATAAAAAATTCAAGGTAACTTATTTTGGGCCAAATGTTCTCTAACTCCTGTCCTGTCGTGTCCTCTGCTCTCAGGACATTCCTGAATACTCAGCCACACTGACTCACAGTTGGATTGTAAATCGAGTTAAATCAAATTAAAGTGTGGGGATGGGCTTGTTGTGACCGACACAGACGCCCTTTGCTGTTTGCATAATGTCATATACTGTATGTTTGCCTGCCTTCATGGGCCCCGTGAGATGTTGTTAGAGATGTCAGGCCCACGTGTGCCGCCCATGTTTTTTCTCCATGCTCTGAAACCGATTGCACTTTTAGATCAAATCCAGTCAGTGTGTTTTTGTGCCATGGTTTTGGTTCTTTCTGTTCAAATGAATGTTTTTTTTCCTCTTTGATCAAGTTCTAAAAAGTGCCTCTTGTTTTCCTGCAGACTTTTTAAACACATCTCTGTTGTCCAAGGTCAAACTTACAAGTCATGACTGTGCATTTTAAACACAGAAACACGAGGTTCTAGAGGCAGTCACATACTTTTGTTTATGTCAGATGCTCACAATTGTTTTCCCCATTGAACCATCTCATGTTGTGTAGAATGTGTGCTGATATTCTGAGGTAAAAAAAAACAAAATGGTCTCTAAACCCTGAAAAAAGTTCATGTTGGATTTTAGTTGACTCGATGACCTCTGACAACAGAGCTCTGTTGATGATTTGTTTCCTTCTTAATGCTGCCCTTTGAACAGACTGTTATTATGAAAGCAACTTTTGTAAGTTGAGCAGGGGAAGTTTTTTATGTTGCAACAGTCAGGTTACTGCTCACTGCAGCTGTATTATTGGTGCCGTGTGGTTTATCTTCAGTGACAATCAGTCCCGAAAAAAACTGGACAACAGCCGGGTGTTTTCACTGCTCTGCTTTTCATTTACAATACCGTGTTACATTTCTGCAGCGTCTCCTCGGCCTCTGTCCTCTGGACAAAGGAGGTTCAAAATGTTCCCTTCATCTCTGTCTAAATGATGAACAACTATTTTTACTTTAGTTAACTCAAGCTCGATTACCTTTGATTTTATTTCAGTCTGTTGTGATTTGTCACAGAGCCTTAAGCCTGTTTGCCTTAAGTTTTTTTTTATTTCCTTTTGAATTTTGCTGACAGTTTCACATCTACATTATAACTTTGTTTACATCGAGTGATCCAATATTCAGAACAAAAACAAATGTGTACGAGTATTTATAAAAGACGCTGTATGCTATTAAAAAAAGAACAGAAGTGTTCAGAGCCTTTCATGTTTTTGTGATTTTCTTAACTGATTTTTTAACTGATGACGTGTGTGAGGAAGAATGCTGCTCGTGTTCTTACTGCCGCACTGGAACGTGAAGGATTGGTGATTGATTAGGAACTAAGATCATCAGAATCAGTGTTCATTACAGAGTACATTAACACAAGAGAAATTTGACCTGGTATGTTGATGCCGCATGATAAAATAAAATTAGAAATATAGTCTCAAGACTGAAATATGATATAAACATAGTTAAGTGGAAAATAGTGAATAAAAACTAATGACTCGTTAGTGACTCACACACACATTTGTACATCCAGCCTGAGTGTCTTGCTTAAATTTGTTCCTTTAACGGTAATAGTGTCAACATGTCATTTCTTGACATCTAAGTGACTAATCCTGGCTCCGAAACAGGAGAAAAACAAGAAATGATAATGTCTTCAAACTGGCAAAGTGGCTGGATTGAAAACCCTAGCTGGAGCATTTTGGCCCGTGGGCCATATGTTTGACACACATATTAAACCATGTACATCTAACATACTGGGGGAATGAAAATATCATCTGTTAATGCTTGAAGTTACACACAAACACCATCCTCAGATTCTGATATTATATTTGTAAATGAATGAATTAAAAAAATACTCTTACTTAGCACTTGCTCCTCAGTGACCTCAGAGGTCTCGACCGTCACATGGTTTGGGAAAATTGACCTGCAGTTTAAAAACAGAAGAAACAATAAGGCAGCATTTTATAGTTTGACTTTTGGTATAAACAGAGTCATTGTTTCTTTTCTTTTTTGCATTGACCTGTAACGTTTCAGAGGAACAAAATGTGAGAACACAACTATGAACTGTAACAATCACTTACACGCTTGGTTTGAAGAAGGAACTGTGACTGATGACAGAGGTTCCACGCTCCAGTCAAACACAGAATCAGTGCATTCAGCAGTGAGTGCTTTTTGTTTTTATTATTATTATTATTAGGTGTTTTTAACAGAGTCATCATAAATCCATTATAAACACCATAACATCGGTTCACGAAAATGTACAGAAATAAACTTTCAAGCAAAATGTTAATTAAACGCTGTGACAGAGACATTTCAGTACTGTTTGAACCCATGTGTTGTTTACATTAAATACAGGATAAAAAAAAAAAAACATTCTTCTCAAAATTACTTATGCCGGTAAATACTTGTTGGCACTGCAAACTATGATCATCATAACTTCAATAAACAGACTTGTAATCATTAAATATATTTTCCATAAATTAGAAAAATAGGTTCATGAATTAAACTAAAAATGAATTACTATTATATGTTGTTTATTGAGTCTACTTGTCAGTTGTCCCTGAGGTGTTTCCTTTTGCTCCAATAAAATGTGAATATTTAAAGTAATACAGGTGAAAGAGTTCGGTAGTACGTCTGAAATCCACAGGGTGGCATCACTCGCTGCTTTAAACCTTTCTCCCTTCTTGTACCTGATTCTTCTGGAACTTTCTCACCCTCTCTCTTCTTCTTTCCACTGTCAACAACTTAGCCTTGGCCTTTGAAGATGTCAAGGCAGTGAGAGGAAACCAAAGGTCTTCTCTCCAGCGCTCAGCTGGGGTTCAGTGCTGATCACTACTCCACTGTGTGGCGCTGTCACAGATCTCCGAAGTAATAACTTTCATGTATTTTCAGCCGGTTTCCATCTGGGTACATGATGATGTTATTCATGATAATGGGGTCACTGCAACAAAGACATGGTAGTTGATGAAACAAAGTCAAACAGGCGTCACAGCTCAGGGCAAGTACAAATATATTAGGAAATATTCCTATTTAATGAAAAGTAATTTTAACAAAACACCATGAACATGGAGTGTGTGTGCATTTATTCAAAATTCATCAAGTGAAAATTGAACCCCCTAGCAGGCCGGTTTTAGTCCACAGACCTTATGTTTGACATCCCTGGACTAGGGATTTAAATCAATTCCTACAGCGACTTAACAAATAACTATTCACACTCAGACATATGGTGTAAGCAGTTCAGATAATTCTAACGTTTTGGACTTTTGGAGAAACTGGAGTTCCCAAAAAGGCAGCAGTGACCGTGCAGCACATACAGCAGTCTACAACTAAACTGAGATGAATGTTTCATGTTCTTATTGTTAGGTAGGTCTGCTTCTTACTCGTATTCATCCGAGTATTCCATGACCCTGTAGTACTTGGACAGTAGGAGAGATAAGGAGATGTTGGGGATGAAGAGGATCAAGCTCCAGAAGAGACTGAGCCAGAAGATGTTCTGAGAAGAAACAAACGAAAGTTACAACAAGTCAAACCGATTCTGCCTTAGAATCATGTTCTACTGTAGAAATGTTTCGATCTCTACCAGAGGCTCCACCAGATATGCACAGAAGATGTTTTCCAAGAAGTACAGAATTTCAGACAAGGGCCGACACTGTCCTATATCCTGTGTGACCTACAAATAAAACAGCAAAAGTCACTTCTGCTCATCACCTGAAGGGGGCACAAGCGGGGAACAGTCCTTACCATTTTCGTTGCCCACTTTTTGTAACCCTTGATGTGGTCAATCTGGTTGTCCAAAAACCGCATGCTTTCCTAAAAATGTGACACACACACACACACACACACACAGTGTGTGAGACCTGAGGAGTCAGAGGAAGACAGGGACATGCTGGCTCACTGGATTCTACTGTGGAAAAGTTGCTGGTTCAGTAACGCCCCGCAGTGAGTCTTTACTGATAATGACGGTTAGTGGTTTGTTCATCTGCAGTGACGTTGCACATTATCTGTGCTGTTTTTCTGATTGTTTGTTTTTTTATCATGAACTTGTTTAGCAGTGATAAAGAGACCCAGTAGGTGGCAGTATTGAAATGCAAAGTTTGCCAGTAAACCCTGGGAGGGGCCTTGGATGTAATTCATATACTGTATATTGAATTAATATATTTAAATGTTATATTTTTGGTTCATTAAAGTCTTGTCATTTTCACATTGTGCTCAAATGGGTTTTTTTTTTTATGATATGAATTTCTTCTGACTCTACTCACAGTGCTCAAATGTTTTTTTTTTTTTATGATATAAATTTCTTCTGACTCTACTCACCGTCCTGACAATCTGTTCTGTATTTGTGTTGAGAATGTTTTGGACCACTCCCACAATCCTCAGCACGTCCTCCACTCTCTCCTGTAAGAGTCAGAACAGAAAGTATTCAGAACACTACAGAAGATGGTGGCGAAACAAGTCAGGTCACTGAAGTGGAACCTACAGAGATATTTGCTGCCAAGGACCGGAGGTAAATGACGGTCGAGTTCAGGTCTTTCTGAGGGCAACAGTAGAAGGTGTGAATTCAGGTCAAATGTCCAAGGCAAAAAAAAAGAGAAAGTCAATTCTGTAATTGCAGAGAGACGGCAGACACTCACGAGCTGTGGAATAACGACCGTTTCTATTCTGTCCTGAAGACTCGTAAGAATCTTTGCCTCATTTCGGAGCTCTTCTTGAACCACATCCTCAATCTACAAAACCATAAATATAACAAGAGAACATTAGCACTACAGAGGGGGAAATCTGCCAAAATAAAAAAATCACATGGACTCACTCTTAAAGCGGCAAACTCAAGTGCCTCAGTTACGGCGTTTAAATTGACGGAGAACATGTAGTCTGTCTGAGAGAGAAGACGAGGTCAGCAAAAACACACACATGAAACAGGCGGCATGACTGACACTCACCTGGTGTGTATTAGCGTTGGTGTTAAAATCTTTGGCCTTTGCTGAGAATTCTCTGAGCTGGTTTTGTACTTCAGGGCTCAGGATAGTGTATGCGGATACTGTGATGTGTGTACTGTCAAACAGCGTCTGTGCATGTTTTATGTACTGTTGGTCCAAGAGAAGAAGAAACACAAATGATTCAATTCTTCTCATAATTCCAGATTTTTAAAAAAAAATCCCTTTTGGACTTTAAATATTTTTTTTCTTTTTGTTGCACAACAGTGAAATTTCGAACTTCATTTTGGCCTGTGAGCCAAAGATTTGCCCACCCCTGCCTCACAGGAACAAATCCTTAACTTTACAACATCTGTGGCTACAGAATGTCCCAGGGTGCATTTCACACAACTGGATGTTGTTGGGTTCAAAGGCCAGAAGACAAATACTTACTTCAGATACGTTGAGCATTTCTTCGAGGTCTATGCTGTCCTTCAGTTTAATGGTCGTCCACAGTGGCTTGTTCTGCTTACAGTCACTAAGACAGGAAGTGAAATGTGTACTGTGTGTGTACATATCAAATACTGCATGTAGAATGTGTACGAGGTGAAGTACCTAATAATACTAGTGGCGGTGATTGCAGATTTCTGTCCAAAAGACTCCCTCAGTTGAATGATGAATTCTGTGGAGTCCACAGCCTGTGGACGGAAGAAACATTAAGCAGTTAATGGTGTTAATTGATCTCAATCATCATCTCCATGCATCGTTAGGATTATTCAAATAAAAACAGGGAGGAAACGCATTCATCCTGCTCTTATCTGTCTCTCTGTTCCACCAATAATATACAGAGAAAAAAATGTTTTCCTTCATTCTTAAGAATTTATCACAATTAATCATGATTAATCGTGATTAATCATGATTAATCGTGGCGATCCCAGTACTAACAACATCTATATTTCACATGTAGCAGTGAAAGTAAAAATCACCACCTTCAGAATTTGTCCATTTCTTAGGGGCCGACAGATGACAGTGTAAAACGTCCCGCCGATGAAGAACAGCGCCAACACAATCAGCATCAACAACCAGGAGAAGAAGAAGCTTAGACCTGTGCTCCTGCCAAATCAAGGAAAGCCAAGGATTAGCTTGTTACTGTCATGTAGCGCAGGAGCTCAGCAACAAAGTTCCTTACACCAGGAAGAATGTTCCTCCGCAGTCTGCCGTCTTGGAGCGCATCGTGGGGTCCGCCTTGGGTTTCAGACCCACAATGCCCAGGATCATTCCCAAGCAGTTACACATCAGTATAAAGAGCAGCATACCACAAACAGCGAAGCCACACTTCCACCTGGACAAGAAGGAAACAAACAGGAAGTTGGTGTGACGCCGCTTCTCTCTTGTATGTGTGTGTGTGTGCTGGTGTTTTACCAGATTTCCTTGAAGACCCAGTAGGCTATAGCGGCGTAGGGTCTCATATTTCCCATTTCAATTTGTAAGTGATATAACAGGGTGGTGAACTGACTGATGACCTGAGAGATCACTGGTGTCTGAACGCCAGGCGGCAGCTCCATGAATTCTACTAAACAAAGAGACAGAAAAAAACACACGTGATGCTGTTGTCGTGTGTGTGTGTGTGTGTGTGTGTGTGTGTGCAGCTCATTGGTCATGTACACAGGTTAAACACCAGGTCACGACCTGAACTTGGATTCAAATCCAAGATTTGAATTGTTATGGTGAACCAAGGCCTTACCTCACACACACACACACAAATCTGTACAAGAAAAAAAAAATCAACCTACAATTAGTCACATGTGGGTTGGTACTGGCAATAATGTTTGGGATGCTGTCCAGATAATTGTTAACCTAAAATAAAAATAAAATATAGAGACAATTTACCATCTTTTTAACATCTTTAAGTTGGCACTTTTTGATTTTACAGAGTGATAAACTCACTGACCTTCTCCATTTTTAACGTGAGTTTAATTGTAATGACTTCATTCACTTCATCCCAGAACTCCTTCAGGGTGGGAATCTGTGTGCAAAAACATTATCCCGTAAGCCAACAGAAGGAGGCGCTCCAGGTTGGGCAAGAAGAACAACATTTATCAAACGAATGACGATAGAACAAGTGAAGAGGGGACGGGAAAAGTTTACAAAGAGTTGACTTCAACAAAGATCAGCCAGACGACACTTTTTATTCTGCTTGTCCCTTTAAAACAACGAGAACCAACGCTGCATCAGAGGAAAAGGAAGCAGTGAAGTGGAGAACTCACAGTGATGTGGTGGTTCAGCTTCAGATCCAGACTGTCCAGATCTGACTGCAGCAGCTCACAGCCAGTGCACTCTGGTTTGGCTAAGGTTAGAGTCAGACGACCTTTGACACTTTGGACGTCTTGCTGCAGGTTGTCCAGGTTGGACTGTATCTGGTTTATAAAAGACTGAAGCTGCTGCAGTTTTGCACTCATTTTGTCGTTGTCTATGAAAAGAAATTACACACACACACAGTATTATTATTAATAACATATTTTTACTGTTAAAAGGTTGTTTTAAAAAGTTATAAAATTATTTGTTAACTGTCAATAGAAGTGAATATTAGAAATGTCAGGGTTTCAAAGTTCTAAAACAGAACAGAACATACGACAACAAAACCACGTACCCTCGTTCAGGAGTTTGACTTCATCGAACACTGGCTTCAGATGTACGAGGAGTCGCTCCTGGATCTGTCCTCCCAGCAGAGGGCCGATGTCTAGGTCAAAGTTGAGGTTTAAATGGCGTCATCTCTACGACAGCAGTTACTCGGGGTATGTTCTCACGTTGTTATCATCTTTGTTCATACCTTGAAAGTTTTTGGTGACTTCTCTGACGGTTTCTTCAGACTCTCTCTGTACGTGGCCTACTTGCTGGAGGAACAGACGACAGTTGGCGTCAGTAAGGAGATCTTTTTGCCAAACATTGTTCTGGATTTGAATCAAATGGTTTTTGAAGAATGTGTTTGGCAAGAGAAGTTGACAGAACATGAGGGGGCGGTACGCTGACGTGACATGTCGCTGTGTATGTACTGTACGTCCGCTTTGGTTAAATGTGCAGAAATGTACAAGTTAGTCAAGAAGTTTTAGGAAAAAACTTCAGCAGTGTGTGATTTGAACTCCCTGATACCATCTGTATCCTATTTTCTACACAAGATTCAGAGAGGAAAACTACCTGAAGGGTTTTGTTTTCAAACTGTTATGGGAAAATGTTGTTATTTCATTGTTGTGAGCAAAAAGTTAGCAAAAATGTCCAACAACATCAATATCAACAGATATTCATAAAAAAGTATGCTGCATTTTTATTTATTTTGTTATAATGTTAAAAAAGTATCTCAGATTTTAAACATTTGAATTTTTATGAGTAACTTACAACATGGACCACAAAGTAAATGTGTGAATAAATACACTAAATAAATGAAAATGTTTTTTTTTCCTACCAGAGGCAGAGCCTGGACGTACATAAAGATGTTAGTGAGCATGTGGGCAAACTGAGAAGGGGTCTGCTCCATGCCATCTTTGAAGGACTGGTGGCTCTTGAACATGTTCATGGTCCCAGCACTGAAAACACACACACGGAACCAGTATGACATTTCCTGCTAATTCCAGCAAACATTGATAATAAAACATTAGCACTCACAAGATGACGAGGGAGATGCAGAGCAAACTGCCAAAAATGGTTTTTCTCTCACAGTGAATGAGAGTGTTCTGCTGCTGGTACATCTTCCCTCCCAGGTTTCCACACGAGCGGCAGCACGCCACGATGATGCCTGACGTGGGCATCGCCAAGACGTACGCACCCAGGACTAACGCACTGACGTAGAAGCTGGAAATGTGTAAAAGAAGCTAAAATACAAAAGCACAAAACACACAGGAAAGACTTGAATCTGGGTTGAAATTCTATTTTTGTCATTTAGAAAAGAGGAGCAACTGCTATCGCTGTTCTGTTGACAAAAAATAATTCTCTCACCAAGATGTACACAAAAAATAAAATAAAATAAAATAAACACCTAGCGCTCAGACAACGGAATTGCATCAAAAGAGCTATTATATAATTTTACAAACAACAATTCACACATTTGGACCATTTTAATGGCTGCAGTAGTGCCGGTATAAAACGTTTTAACTACTGCAGTTATACTACAGATTTATTAAGTGCAGAAAATAGTTGATGATTTACAGTATAGTGCTTTTTTAATCTGTTGTATCACTTTGGTATTTACGGTGACATTCTATACCATCACAGTCAGCGGCCTAAAGCTAATTAGCTGTTAGCAGACATGCTAAAATAAACTTAGTGTCGCTAAGAAACTGAAAACTGGTGTAATCTTAATTTTGGGCTTAAAAAAATACAGTCTCATTCTTTCTGTGATAGACCTGTATTAGTGGTCGACGTATGTGACGCATCAGTTAAATATGATTTTGCTAATGTGGCTAAGGAGCCACAGGTTGCAGACCCCCGGTCTCTGGTCTATCTGCTTAAGTCATCAACAAAATAGCGATTTAAATTTTCAAAAATAAAAATAAAACTAAGAGAGGAGAAATGAATATTTCTAAACTTTGCTCATTCACTTACCTGTTCACGGATGTGCTTGCCGTAGTCAGGGTCGGTGGAATCCATCCCCACCATCTTAAGGAATATGTCTGGAAAGAAGAAAAAATTACAGGTAACTTTTGATGGTTTCAGATTACACAGTGGATGTCACACTAATCCATGTGTTGGGATTACTGGAAAACCAGGCTGGACTAACAGGAAGTGAGGTCTTTTTTAACTTTAATTCATGCGTCCACGGTTTAATCCTTTCCTGGTTCACAGTGCAGCTGAATCAACAGCTAACATTAACAATACACAGTTATTTAACATTTTATTGAAGTTATTTCCTACTACGGTAAAGGTAAATACAGATAAATAAAAGGCTTGTTTTTGTCAGCCTGGTTCCTTGATTCTCACATGTAATCTGGCAACCTTGCTCAGAAGTACATTCATTCCAAATTAACAATAACTGAAGTTGGCCTTTTACTAGAAAAGAAAGAGGAAGTTTTAGGTTTTTTTTCCCACAAGTTTCAACATCGACTCGACACCTTCAGGGTCCAGTAAACCATTGAAGAAAACAAAGTAATTATTTTTACAGTAATAAACTGATATCTATGGCTGAGACAGGTGTTACATTTCACAAGAAGTGAAGCTATTTAACGACGTCACGGTTTAGGTTACCAGCCAAAGGCTTGGTGAGGCGTTCAACTGTAAAGGCAACCAGACATCTGGATAGTGTGTGTGTGAAGCCTGGAGACGTTCAGGTGTAAATGACACACTCCAACTGTCAGGTATTGTCACCTGTGGCTGATGTTATCACTGATATCACTGCCACAGCTGAGGCAGCTCACCAACATAATCCCATGAATCGCAATAAATCAACATTCCTGAAGTTGGGGATAACAAAATCAGTTTCACATCTGGTTTTTATTTTACTGAGTCAACAGAGACTTGATTTCAAAACTATGTCGAAGTCTGCCACTTGGATGCCAAGTGGATATCTTCAGGAATTCATAGTTCTGTTTGGGTTTGGATTTTGGAATCCACTCAACAGTGTTTCCCAACTTTGTTTGAGCCACAGCACATACTTATCATCGGGCAAAAACACCACGAAGTTCATCACGAAACAAAATTCTCACAAAAAGTATGAAATATAATAATCTTTTAGTATATTTACTGAAAATTTACTACTGTTTAGTTGAAGACAACGCTGATATACTGGCAGGAATTGAAGAAAGGCACTCACAAAGCTCTTCTTCAACAGCTCTGATTATTTATATAGCCATCTGCTGCCACCTAGCAGAAGAGTATTTTATTGTTCGGCCTGTCGTGCATTGATGAACAAAGAAAAATAAATTGCAATAAATGAATTAGTTTTCAGACCAATTCGTTGAAATTTGATCATTTTCCACGGCACAGGATCGTGCCACGGCCCAGTGGTTGGGAATCACTGTCGCACAGTGTGTTCCACAGTTTAGCAAAGACAATAAAACTGTTGCCCAAGCATCGCAGACCGATAACACCCGACACTGACCTTGAGGAAATGGTTTATTGTATATTATGTTGAGTAAGATCCTGCCAAGGGAAGTCACGAAGCCCCCGGTGGCGTTCTTCCCCAACACCACCATGTACTCGGGCTGATAGACGTCCGTTCGATTGCGTTCTGCATTATCCTTCTGTGACGCGTCACACTGGGACAAAACCAAGAGTCCGAGGAGGACTTTCAGTGTTCCAGCCCTGGACTGCCACCTCTGACCCGTCCAACCATACATTCTCTCTCAACCTCTCTCGTCTTTTGTCTCTCTCTTTCTCCCCTTCTCTGTTGCCTCTTCTGCTTTTTTATGTCATATCAAACATCAAAGACAACATGAAGGGCATTCTCTATGACACGACTGCGTCAGCGTTCAGCCAAATAAGTGCCTGCAATTGCGCCACCATGAGGTTACATCCAGATACTGGATAATAGCACAGCTGCAGATTTTCCTCCTCAACCTCGCCCCGGTAGAGTCGCGGCAGCCATGTTTTAGTAACGTTCAGGAAACAATCCCCAAAGACACAATAACACGCTGCAAACTCAGTAGACTTAATTCAGCCACACATTTAATTCACAGCTTTAAATAAAAAAAGCAAGAGATGGAAATGTAAGACCACAACACAACGTTGTGTGCAAAAATCACATAATGAAATTAAAACACCGAAATACAGTAAGCTACATCTGAAATGTTTTTGTAAAACAAAAAAAAATCATAAAGAAAATCAGTAAATTCAATTTATTTTCATTTTGTTATTTTTAAATAGTGCCATCACTTTATATTGCCTGTAGCCTTAGTAAGAAAAAAACAAGATAATTTATTTGAACATGGAGTGAATTTTTTTTAAGTGCTATTTTTAACATTAAAGTTCCCAAGGCACTGGTGTGTTTAACTGTGAAACAGCAGTGTGAAAATGACTTCACCTTCAGTACTCATGTCTGTTAGAGCCCACACCCTTGTGGGTGGATACAACTAACTACGTACTAGTATTTATAGTAAGAAAAGGGAAAAAAAGGAAAACCTTGTGTTGCATGGCACTTGTAATAATATTTTGAGCACAAGAGGTAAAAAACATGTCATTAGTCAAAGATAAGGACTTAGATCAGATATTTTCTGTCCTAAAAATAAACCTGTTGAAACAGTTGGACTCTTCCTTTAATTAAGTCATTTTCTCCTAACATTTAAAACCATACACAGAAAAAACAGTTAGCAGTAACAGTTATCTGGGTCAATAACAACGTGTTTGTGTGTCTCTCTTTTCTGCCAGCAGCAGACACAACTGAAAAATGACAAACCACTGTTCACCAGTTATTTATATATTAACTCAACAAAAGAAATCTCCAAAAAATGTCCCTGAAGTATTTTTTAAATTGACGTTTGCTGTTTGATATGTATCATGTAACTCCCCTGCCGTCACTGAATCAGTGCATTTCTTTTTTATATATATATAAATGTTAAATGTTATTAAGAACTAGGGTAAAATAAAAAAATCCGGCAGTTATAAAATCAGTAGCTGCACGAACGTCTGAAGTTTTCCGGTTCCTCACGTCTCATCTTTCATCCGTGTGCAAACACAGCAGTTTCACTCTATTGTTTGTCACAGTTTCAGCAGGCGGCTCCCGGTGGATTTGGCCATGCGTCACTCTTTGGCCAGGTCTGTCACTCATACACACGCTTGATGCTTTTCAATTATTTATTTTCTTGAATTTTTTTTGGTTGAGTTCTGCACTACTTTCCTCTTCCCACAGCCTGCAGCTGTACTGGCTGCAGTTTCTCTCTTTGGAGCCATTATAAAGGGCTAATAGTACAGAGAATTAAGACACTGTAGCACAGCAAGACGACAACGTCCGACCACAACAAACAGAGACGCGCAACTGATGCTTCTTGATATCCAACAGCCGGCGTCGGCCATCTTTAAGTCAGTCAAAGTCCGAATTTTGGTCAGTCTCAAAGGGTCAAATTTATTGAACTTTTTGGGAGAGGTCCAAATTGTACGAGGTCCAAGGGTTTATATATATTTATATATATATATATATAATTTTTTTTTATTATTTTGTGCTTCTTACTCGTTATCAAGAGTGTTTCATCCTCCTGTAGTACTTGGCCAGTAGGATGGAGAAGATGATGCTGGGGATGAAGAAGACCAAGCACCAGAGCAGACTGGACCAGAACAAATTCTAAAGAGTCAAAAAACACGAGAAAAATTACTCCAGTTTGTTTTGTTTTTTTTTGTCCATTGTTCACATTGTTAAGAAATGTAAATTGCAACCATTGACGGTGACTACAGCTCCTCCTTACCATAGGCTCCACCAGAGAGGAACAGAAGACGACGTCCACAAAGTCTACCATTCCCGCCACAGGCTGACAGCGTCCGATCTGCTGTGTGATCTGAGGGAGAAGGAAGAGTTCAGCTGTGGTGGGAGAAAAACTCCAGTGTGGTTTAAACAGGTTATATGGAGTGTTCTGACCATGGAGGACGCCCACTCTTTGTAACTGATGATGTGACCGATCTGACAGTCCAGGAACTTCCTGCTCTCCTGAAATCAAGAGAAAGTCGAGGGAGTTACGCACTTTAGTCGTTTGGTTTTCCACAGCTTCAAGTGAAAACGATGAGTTTGGGTTCATAACAAATCAGAGCCTGGACGCATCAAAGGCTAAACAGTAGTTTCAACATCACAGTGCCACATAGTGGCCACATTGAGTAGCAAAAATCTTGCCCATCATTTTACAAATACATATAAACAAGAGCTTCTTCCTCATCTTCTCCTTCCAGTTTGTCTTCCTCGTGGCTCTACTCACTGTCCGGATGATCTGTGTGGTATTTGTTCGGAGAAAGGTTTGTGCCGCTTCTAGATTTCTCAGTAACTCCTCCACCTCTCCCTGTGAGAGAGGAGAGAATGTGTTGTGAGAGGAGGAAGACGAGGAGGAGGAGGAGAGTGAAATAGTCTGTGGTCGGTTTGGGATAAATCAAGTCAACGTTTACTGACAGAGATGTTTTCTGCATTGGACTGAAGATTCCTGACAGACACATTCACATTTTCCTGGGAAGAAAAAGCAGAAGATGTGTAGGTTTATATCACCACAAAAAAAAAAAAAAAAAACACTGTTAATGGAGGAGATGGATGAGGGCGTGTCCATTCACCAGTTGAGGGATGATGGTTGTTTCATATGTGGCCTGAATTCCCCTCAGATTACTGGCCTCGTTCTGTTGAAACCATGGAGTGAACACAGCCATGAGACTCCACATGGTCTACAGCCAGAAGTCATTATGCATTAAAAAAACAGAAATGTCTTACTTGTGACCCCAGTTGGTCCAGTTTATCTGCTGTTGAGTTCAGATTGATCCTGGACATCTTGGCAATCTGACAGAAAAGACGCAGCGTTTTTGGAACAACAAACCAGACAGAAACAATTCCAAATCTGAAAGCTGAACTCCACCTAACTACCTGGTGTGTGGTGTCAGTGGAGTTGAAACTCCTGGCCTTGGTGCTGAAATCTCTGAGCTGCCGGTCAACATCCGGCTCGAGGAGAGTGACTGAGGACAAGTTGATGTGTGTACTGTCAAACAGCTGCTGCGCTTGTTCTACGTACTGTGGAGGAAAACATCAAAAATGAATAAATACATCCCTCAGACCTCCAGAGGTTTCCTCTACTTCTCTGAAGCTGTGAGGCGTTCAAGGTACGGTGGCCCAGAGGAAATCTTCTCACCTGAGAAACATTCATTATTTCATCAAGGTTTATGACTTCATGCAGCTGCAGTGTTGTCCACAAGGGCTTGTTGTCCTTACAGTCACTAGGACAGAAAATAAAGTTTATGAAAAGAAAAGGCCAGTGTCGGCCATCTTTGGGTTGGTCGAAGTCCGAGTTTTGGTCAACCTCGAAGGGTAAAATTGACCTCTTTACCGCGAAGTGTTTTTTTTCTTTTTTCTTGTAGAGATGAAGCAGCCTGACGTACCTGTAGATACCTTTGACACTAATGTTGACGTTAAATCCTAAAGACTGGCCCAGGTTGGAGATATAGTCTGTAGAATCAACAGCCTGTGGAGAGAAGACGACAGTGAACACAACATAAAGTCACGTTACATTCTGTATTCAGCGTGTGCAGTTCACTGACCTCCAGGAGTTTTCCATTTCTCAACGGTCGACAGACGAGAGTGTAAATGTTCCCGGTCACAAAGAACAGCACCAAAACCACGATCATTAAAATCCAGGAGAAGATGAAACTGAACCCTGAGCCCCTGCCGCCACCAGAGGTCAGACACGTTCATCAGAACCACAACAAGAGGTGAGTGACAAAAGGGCGACAGTAAAACACTCACGCCAGGAAGAATGTGCCTCCACAGTTTGACGTCTGGGAGCGCATGGTGGGCTCCACTTTGGGTTTCAGACCCACGACGCCCAGGAACAATCCCATGCAGTTACACAGCACTACCAGCAGGACCAAACTGCACACTGCGAAGCCACACTTCCACCTGCAGGAGAACGGAACAGGCAATGACGGGGGGTGGTTGTTTCATCCGGGTGTTGATGGCTGCTCTGCAGGTGCAGGAGTTTTACCAAATGTCTGTGTAGGTTCTGTAGGCTGGGGTGAATCTGTTGAGGTTGGGGTAAACCTCGGTGGTGATGATGTCTGACAGCTTTTGCAGGAAGTCGATTTCATTGAACTTGCTGGCGACATCGGAGATCGTTCCTCTAAGGCCATCCAGCGCTTGTTTGGTTTCTAAAGGTGTACAGAGAGAAATGTGTAATTTATATTGTTTAAAAAAAAATAAAAAAAAGGCCGACATATATGCCTGGATATACTTTATATCAAACCTACGTTGAACTGCGCTGCTGGTCTCGCGTTCCACCGTCTGTGGGATGTTGTTGAAGGAGTTCTCCACCTGGAATGTCAGGGAATATTGGCCAACAGGTTTGGAAAATATATGGGCAATTTATACAGAATACATTAAAGTCGAGCATGTGCAGGTTTGATTCCCATTTGACAGATTTGAGTGAAAACATAAATTCTGCTTATACTACTCTTCATCTCATATATAAATGTATTTGATATACATATATATAATTATATATACATATACTGCATACATATGCACACAAATATATACAGTACTTCTATATCAATAAATATATGGTAACTAATGTTTATATATAATTGTGTGTGTACAGTATCCTTACAGTATGTCACATATATATCTTACATACAGTAAATATACAAATATACAAACACACCACACTTAAATACATTCTTAAATCTTTACAATTATGAGCATTAAAAAACTATTATATAAACTATAAATATATCTGTGTATACTGGCTGCAGCCTACTTTCTATGAAGTACATTAACCAGTACAGTGTTGAAAACTTCTTAAAGAGGAAAAGCTGCAGACCTCCTTGGTTGTTGACGTCAGATTTTTCCTGACAACTTCGTCCACCGCCGACTGGAACTCATTCAGATTGGGAACCTGCAAGGACACGTGTGAATAGAGGGAGCCGAGTGGACGAGAACTGAAACACAAAGACAGGGCCTTACATGTTGGTAATTGTCCTCTGTGAGTTCATCAAGAGCTTCACTTATTTCAGCATTTTGATGCAAATGGATGTTGTTGTTGATGATGTCTTTAACTTGAGTGACATTTTCTTGCATACGATCCATGCTGGACTGTAACTGAGTCAAGGAGGAGTTCAGGCTCTGGAGTTCAGTGCTGATGCTTCTGGTCTCTGTTCAAAACCCAAAGAATTATTAACATGAATAATAACAATTACATGTTTGTAAATACATTTTTTTAAAAACTAAATTGAGTTTGAGGTTCAACAACATCACAGTGTTGTGTTTTTAAAAGATGACCAGAGTAAAAGTCAGGGACTAGGATTAAGCAACATCTTGGAGTGAAGTACTTCTCTTGTCCAAGCATGAAGGAGCGTTATTATACACTCCATGACTCAATACTTCCACACTTGAGGCAAGTACATGTACACAAGTACACGTACACAAGTATATGTACAAGTACACTCTTGAAAGCATCAACAAAAGCACGTCACATCCAGTTACACCCATGACGATGTTTCATAATAATCAACCTGTACAGGAAAAACATCATCGGAATTTTGCTCCCCATCCCTGAATTTCCACTCGTAAGTAGTCAGTGAAACACGAAGCCGCAAATTAACACACTTATCGTCACATGATTCCTGACACTATTGTTTCCCAAAGACTGGCTCCTGACCCTCAGGTGGGTCGCAAGAGATTTTTTTTGGGAGTTTACGAATAATGTCTATTGACTTGGGTTGCAAAAGTTTGTGATACTTTTAAAATATGGGTCCCCAGAAAAAAGGTTTGGGAAACACTGCCCTACACACTCCAACCAGTTGCCTGAAAGACACATTGTATGAATTAAATGGGTAAACGTTCCACTGCAAGACATTAAAGTTCACCCAAAGTCAAGGTCTTATCTTTGGGTTCATTTCCTATTGAAGAGAAAAGTTATCAAAAGTCTGTAATTCTGTTGTGGAGCTTTTCTCTCCAGTCCAGGGGCTTTTTCTGTTTCTAACTTTGTGGTGGTCTGGTTCCAAATATCTGATCTGCTGTAATGAACTGCAGACTTGTTCGGGCCAGTTCAGACTGGTACAAGCCAGAACTTGTCGACGCTCCATACCTCGGTCTAGTAACAACAGCGACTGAAGCACTGGGTCCACATATGAACGGAATTTCTCCTGGATCGGTCCTCCCAACTGACGTCCAACGTCTGCGTCACACAGAAGAAGAAGGTTTGAGTTGTACAGTTGTCAAACAGTGTCACGACAGAAAACAAACACAGACCGTCACTATGATGATGATACTGGTACGTTACCGTCTAAGTTCCTGGATATTGCCTCCAAGGTTGTATTGGATTCATTCACCACAGAGGAAATTTGCTGGAAAAAAGCAGAAGCAATACAAGTTATTTGTAAAACGAAAATAAATAAATAATTTTTTTTAGTTCCTAAAAATGGGGCAAACAAACCAAACCTTTGTTGGCCAAACAAATAAAAAAAATATTAATTAATAATAAATTAATAATTGTGATCAATTTAATCAATCACGATTAATCGTGATCATTTTAATTCATCATTAATCGACATTATTCATCCACTAGCCTGTGATTATTTACATTTGAATTTTTAACCCTTTGACAGCCCCAGGTCCAAACCACAGACATGTAACTAAACAGGAGGGTTCCTTCACCTCAGGCAAAGCCTCTGTGAACCTTAAGACGTTGGTGAGAGTGCTGTTGAGCTCCGTCGGAGTCTGGTCCAGACCATCTTTGAAGGCTTGGTTGTTAATAAACATGTAAACATTCCCAGCACTAGAACACACAGACACAGAAACAAACAGAGAGAAGTGCTGCTGCTTTACAGCCGTGGTCGTGGAAGGAAAACATTTCACTCTGCGGTCGCCGTTAATCTCCACTCACAGGATGAAGACGGAGGTGATGAGCACGACCCAGTAGAACGTTCTCCTCTCACAGTGGAGGGAGTTCGTCTTCTCCTGGTACATCCTCCCACCGCAGTTACCACAGCAACGGCAACACGCCAATATGAGGCCCAATATGGGCATCAGGACCACGTAGGCCAGCAGAATCCCTGCACCGATCCAAAAGCCGGTAAAATGTGCAACAATCTGGACGGAGCAAACACAACGGAATCATCAGAGCTGAAAACATTCAACTGAATCAGGACGTCTGCTCAGACTCTCCTTCAAACACTGACACACAGCTCCACTGGAGCTCTGAGGATGGAGGGTGTGGAAGTCACGTTGGTGGACTTACACGACTCTGGAGTCGAGAATAATCGACCGGAGTTTCAGATGTAAAAGCATTGGTTAAGTTGAAGAACAGGTCTGAGAAGAAATGGGAGAAAAAAAAACAATGTCAGATTTCAATGAAGTGGAAAATGTTAGGAACCAGGCAGAGGTAATTACTGTTCTCCGACACACACTCTCATCCACGTTGGGAACACTGTGTCTTGAGTTCCTGACAAACATTTTAATCTTCTGCTTTGTCAGAGATGAAACCCAACACCTCTGTCCTGTGGTTAATGTTAAACCACAAAGGCATTCGTGGGAGATTTGGGATTTTTTTTTAAGTTAAGGAAATAAAAAACAGGACAAAGTTTCAGGTATCACTGAGACCTATTGTAGTTAATGGAAACGCTGAGTCAGCGTTCTGGAGGATTTATTTTCTTTATTTGTCTCAAACACTGGCTGTCAAACAATTGTGGAGAACAACACGGTAGCTGTGGATTAATCACGATTAAAGATGGTTAAATAATAACAACAAGATACATGGATGGAAGGAGGGATGGATGGATGATGGATGGAGGGATGGATGATGGATGGATGGATGCCTGACATCAAACATCAAAGCAGGTCATGGTGGTTAATAATCCACAGGGCAGAACCAAAGAATGCCCATTAACCTGTTGACTGAACACTTCTGTTAGTCACAGCACAATAACTCAAGGCTGATGTTTGCCTTTCACCACATGAGACGGCTGCTTAGATACCGGGTTTGAAAAGCTAAAAGAAGTCATTGTGTGATTTGTTTGCAGGACATTGTCCCACGTCTGTCTTGACAAATTTGGACAGAGCACAAAGAAGACTTCTCTGGAGTGAAACCTGATACTGACCTCGAGGGAACGGTTTGGGCTGGACCACGTTCAGAAAAGGTCCCACCAGATCTGCCATCACGTCTCCACTGCCATTCGTCGCCCTCAGGGCCACGTACTCAGGCTGGGTGACGTTCTGATGAGGAAGTCCCCCACAGACCGTCTGTGGAGGGACAGACCCGGACTGAGCCAGTGTCAGCAGCATCACTCCAACGACGACCAGTCTCAGCGATGCGTGACTGCCCTTTGACCTCCAGACCCTCATGTTCTCACCCATGTGTACAGAGGCAACAAGCGGAGGCCGCTGGCCACCGGGAAGTGGGTTTATGGAGAAAAGTGTACGACACAGACTGAGCCTAAGAGCATCTGGGGGAGAGACGGGGGGGGGGGCCCCAGAGGGGGCAGACCAAACACAC